GATGGGCTTCCTTTTTCACTCTTCTTCCTGAGAAATTTCAAGATGCCACTGTTGGTTGTTATTACATATTTGAATATTTAATTGTCAGTGTATTTCCTTTTTAGTCTGCCTGTCCCACTCCACAACCTCCGTTCAGGCCTTTTTTCTTAGTAATAAACAGTTCAGGGCCGGCTATGGCCACTTTGTGCTGCCGTTTGGTTTTAAATGGAAACTGTCCCTTTAAATTTTGATGAGCTCTGTGTGCATGCACTATACAACCCTCCAGGGTTGAGTGTGGGGTGTCTACTTGCTCAGGCACCCCTTCTAGTAACCAGAATGGAGGTGTGCAGACAGCAAGAGACCAATGAACAGTATAAAAAATAATAAGGTCCACACTTTTATCTCTGTGGTTCTGTCAGGCATCCGTGGTGGCTCTGATCCTTCCCTAGCTTGGTCTTGCCCAAAATGGTGCCTCTGGGAGCAGCTGAGCATCTTGGATTAGATAGCACTAGATTTCTTGCTTCTGCTACAAATTCCACTGGCTGTAAGCCTTCTAATTTTCTAAATATTCCTTTATATGTCGTTCAGAGTTCTGGGACCATCCCCTGAGCCTCCTTGGTCTGATATTCTGTGTTGTTGCTGACAGAGCTCCTTACTGCTCTTCTACCCTATCCACCATCTTGTTTGTTCTTTCCCTCTAGGTACCTTTAACCCCAATTATTTTAAAAATATTTTTGGACAAATAATTTCTTTTTTATTAATAAGTAACTTTGGGAAACTCAACTCCTCCTTGTTCTGATATCCTTATCTGAAAAGATGAATTGTTTAGATCACATGAATTCTAAATTTCCTCTTTGGTTATATAAAAATCAATATAAAATCAACAGTTAATGGTATTTGAGGTCAATAATTCTGTTTTCCACTTGAAAAATAGACAGCATTTAAGCTTGACAACCTAGTGATTTTTTAAAGTATTGGTTGCCATGAATTAAAATCAATAAGGAGAAACATTAATTACCAGATTGGACTACATTGCTCCATTATTCACATAGGAAACTAGGTGCAGTCATAGAAATATCCTTATGTGCAGCTACTTAAAGCTGTAAAGTAGTTGATTCTTTAGCTCAGTGTTTTAACTTTTGAGTAAGTAAAGTTCAATTATGGAAAGAAAGAAAAAAAAAGATCATTGTAAAGATGGTTGGTCTTCAAGACCAAGTAGGTAAATCAAAGACTGGCAGCTAGATCATTTTCTCTCTTTCTCTCTCTAGTGTATTGTCAGCAACCCTACTCCAAGGGTTTTTGTTATGTTACTGATTCAGTCAATCACATGCATCATCATTTGGACACGTGATATTGCTTTTTCTTCTTGATAATTTTCATTGTCCCTAATTCATTGTTTTATAATATTCTTTCTGTATAGATTAACATTAATTAGACATAGGGACAGAATGTTATTTTAAATAACTGACCAAATTTTGGACTCTGAGTATGGTACTGTAGGATCAACAGTGGACTGTGAACCACAAGGTGGACAGTTCAAACCCATCAGCTGCTCCTTGGGGAACCTATATAGGGTTGTTATGAGTCGAAACTGACTCAATGGCACTTCACAACAACAAATTTTAATTTCTTTTCACCTAATTTTTAATGGACCAAAGATAATTGTTCATCCCTCACCAAGCAGACATTACTCTCATTAAGTGGTGGCTGGAGGTTATGTGCCGTCAAGGTGCTCAGATTCATAGCGGCCCTTTAGAGGGTTTCTGAGACTGTGAATCTTTACAGGAAGAGAAAATCTCATTTCCCCCTTGTGGTTAACAGCCTAATGCCTAACCCATTACTCTACCAGGGCTCTTTATCTCTATACAACTACCAAATTATTCACTGAGCACCAATGACGTCCTAACTACCAGGATAAGAAAGAAGACAAATTTAACCTTCCTCATCCTCTAATATCTCCTGTTCCTTCCTGTCATGTAGTAGCCAAACAGGGCATAGAATCTCATAATTTAACTAATGTATTCATTCAATAAATTTTTGTCGCATGCCTACTACAAGCTAGGCACTATTCCAGGCATTCATTGTTTCCAACAGAACATTCTGTGATGATGGGAATGTTCTATATGTGGTCTGTCCAACATAGTAGCCACTAACCACATGTGGGTATATAACAAAAACAAAAACAGCTGATGTCAAATCAGTTCTGACTCACAGCGATCCTATGTGTTGCAGAATAGTTTTGCACTTCCAAGATTTTTCAAGATGTGACTTTTTGAAAGATTATCAGGTCTTTCTTCCAAGTTGCCTCTGGGTGTGTCTGTACTTTTAATCCTTCAGTTTGTAGTGGAGACTTGACTGTGGCTAGTGGGTCTAAGAAACAAAATTTAAATTTAAGTTTAAGGAATTTAAGTTGAAATAGCATATATTGTTGATAGTTATTGCACTGAAAAGTGCAGGAATGTTGTTGGTGTAAATGTTTTTGCATTATAATAGCAAGAAGTAACAAATAATAAGGAAATAACTTGAAAAATAAGTTAATTACAAGTAGTACAGTCCTGTTGTGGTGCTGTGGGTTAATGCGCTAGACTGGGAGGTTCGTTTGAACCACAAGATCGGTGACTCAAGCTCACCAACTGCTCCTCAGAAACCCTATACAGAGTAGCTGTGAGTTGGAATGGACTTGAAAGCACTTAACAACAACAAGGACAAATAGTGTTGCATAGTAAGAGGGAGTTCAAACAGGAATATGTAATCATTGTCTTATTCGGAGTCCTGGTGTGGCAGTGTAGGATAAGCACCAGACCACAAGGTTGCTTTGAACTGCAAGGTTGGTGGTTCAAATTCACTAGCTGTTCCTTGGAAACCCTATACAGGGTCACTATGAGTCGGAACCAACTCCACTCCATGGCACATAACCACCAACCACCATTAGAATCAAGGCACTTAGCAACAACAGTACTTCTCCAGAATAAGGTCATTGTTTGTTTTTTAGTGCCATTGAATCGGTTCTGACTCATGGTAACCCTGTATAGGGTTTCTGAGGAGTATCTTTGAACCCTCTACCTTGCAGTTAACACTGACCTTGCGGTCTGGTTTTTATCCTACAATGGCACACCAGAATAAGGTAGTCAAGGAAAAGGCTCTCTGATGAATGACACTTGACCAGAGATTGATTTGTTTGTTACTGTTGAGTCAATTGTGACTCATGACAAAAGTAAAAGAAAAACATTCTCAGGAGGATCAATAAGTAAAAGTTCCTTACAGGGTTGCTTTGTGTCAGAACCAACTTGAAGACCCTTAACAACAACAAAGAGGGAACAAGCTTGGTACATTCAAAAAAGAAAGGCTGCCCATGAATCTGAAATAATCTGTGTTCAGGAGAGAATAAGGCAAAAGAGGGTTAAATCTCAAAGACCATTGTTGAGAGAAGTTGGAAACCACTGTGGTCTTTTAAGCAATAAAGTGATATGATGTGATAAGATATTCAAAAAATAGCTCTCTGAAAGCTCTCTGGAGAATGGATTGTAGAAAAAAGTGGAGACAGGGTGACCAGGTGAGAAGTGATTCCACTTTTTTAGTTTGGTCTAGAATGGTAGCAGTGGAGATGGTGAAAAGTAAATAAATTCAGGTTGTATCTTCTATACAAAGCTTGGTGATACAATTTTATAACAAACTGCTTTTTAAGCATCAGATGATAATATCTGTACATTTTAATATGTTAAAATTTTGTTTACTGAACTCACATTTTTGACACTTTTTCAACTCTAATGTCAGGGTTCTCATGGGCCGCTGTGCGATTAAGCACAGGACTATAAGGCTGGTTTTAACTACAAGGTCAGAGGTTCAAACTCACCAGATGCTCCTTGGAAACCCTAAACAGGGCTGCTATGCATTAGAACTGACTCAATGGTACTTAACAACAACAACAATTACTATTGACATAAACAATGACTTCATTGCATCAATATGTTTGTTAAAGTTATAATTCAGGAAAAAGGCACAAATAAAAGCCTACAAATGCATTGAGGGGTTTGGTTTGTTTGTTTTGTTTTTAAAGACTTTCATTTTGCTATATTCATGCTAGAGTTATGAGCTGATTATGTGATGTCTACGTCTCGACAAATTATTCCTGGCTTTCTACTTATGTGCAGTATGTGTGGTTTATTGCAGAGAAAAACTGAACAGAATCCAGTACACATGTTCAAGCAGGCGCTGTACACATGGCTTGTCAGTGTGTATAAGGGTTTTTTGTACCCAGTCCCTCATGTCTTGGCATTACTTTTATTATGTCTGCAGGGCTTGTGTAGATGAAATGCCACAACACATTCTTTTACCATTGTAGTCTCAACCAGCCTTTTTGTTGTTGTTGTTGTTTTTAAGAAAACACAATTACCATCATAAAAATTCCTTTCTGAGGAACTTGCCTTATCATTCTATGAGTCTTATAATGGTAGGATATAAAGAGAAAAAAGATGGCTAAATGGTAAAATATCTACAAAAGACTTTTGAGATCTGTAGCTATGGCGTAATGAGAAACACTAAAACTCTGGAGCAAAAGATGCGAGGAAAACAAAGCAAAGTCAAGCATTTAAAACTCCTGGTATGTTAGAGATATACAAATTGTGGTCAAGCTAAAGATAAAGTGTAAATCGCATGTACCTTTACCAATGTCTAAACACAACTAAAGAAATATCAGTCTGTTATCTATTGGGAGAATGCTAATGCCTATAATTGGTCATTGCTTGACCTTTATGTATTTCTGTCCAGATAGCTCTATCTGCCTAAAAGCTAACTCTCTGTTTTCTGTGAAATCTTGCAGTGGTGCTATCAGGGAGATTGTGTTCCTTTTGGCACTTGGCCCCAGAACATAGATGGGGGCTGGGGTCCCTGGTCACTATGGGGAGAGTGCAGCAGGACCTGCGGGGGAGGCGTCTCCTCATCCCTAAGACACTGTGACAGTCCAGCGTAAGTAGCTAAAGTAAGCCGGAGCCAACAAAAAGACACAGTTGGAAATGATTCAAAGCTGTGGTTTCACATGTTATCTGTAAAAACGTTTCGCTAGTGAGCCAAGTACTTGTCTTCAGAACAAGCAATAGGCAAAGGAAAGTGGAGAAGCCTTGTTAGATAGGCTTTCTTTTTCTTCCTTTCCCCTTACTGTGTAACTAAAAGTAAAGCAAAAATTAATAATAAAGTCCAAAAGACAAGCATTGTGCATCCATACCAGGTAGACCCAGACTTTCCATCTAGAAATAGTCAGATAGAGTCCCTCCTCTAAAAACTTTTGAATTATGGATGAATTCAGGTCTGGTCTTAGCTGCATTACCATTATTCCCAAGAAAGCTAAGGTCTTTTCACTTGTCACATAAAATTATTACTGCTACATTAGTATTAAAAGGACCAATGAGAGCACTTCAAGGGCTGAAATACCTTGATTCGCATCACAAATCACAATGAAAAGAATTCTGCCCATATGTTAAAATAGTTTCCATTCACTTGCCCCCATTAATCATCTTCCCAAGCTGCCACCACTTTTCTCCTCACCACTGTTTTATGCAGGTGAGACTGCTCCCCTCCCATCACTCTTCTCCAGCCAGAGTATCCCTGGCTCAAGGCCAGCCCCCTCAGTATTCTTTGCTATCCATGGTGCCACATCCTCCCATCAGTGTCTCCTACAGGTGGACCATTCCTCCAGTTGTATGGACCTGTCCTCCCTAAGACTCAATTACTCTTCAGCTGCTATGCATCAAGCGCTTCCATTTTTGAGCTTAGGTTGAGGGCCTTCTTTCCAGGCTAGTATTTGATACAGAAGGCTCATATGCTTTCCTCCTTCTCCCTGTTGTATGAAAAATGGTTTATGTTATTATTTTTTTTCTCATTTTTAACTCAGGACAACTTTCCTCTTTTGAAATATAGATAGTTTCCCCTTCTTTTCTACTGTTTATAGCTTGACATTGTTTGCTTTCATATCCATTCAGCATTTCCATTCTCCCATTCCCTATTGATTATTACCTTCTGGCAAGCAGAGCTCACTGGTGAAATGGAAATGGACATGGAGGCTAAAAGCGGCCATGCTGCAGCCAGCCAACTACCTTGTTGTTGTCTGATCAACCCACTTCTCTAAAGCTGATTCAATATGGGCCATTTCCTTTCATTAATTAAACTCAGTCTTCCTGGGTACTCAAAATATATTCAAAATGTAACTTGAATTATCATGTTGATATGAGTGGGTCAAAATGATCATTTGAGCTTGCACTTTTAAAGCAAGAACAAAATAAATAACCTAAGTTCAACTGGGAACTATTGTAAATCACTAATCACAAGTATATATCATAAATAATAAACCCAGATACTAGAGAATGATCTGGACCTCTTTTAAAAGAAGAAATTAGTTGTCTTGTTTTGTTTGTTTTCATTAAAAAATAGTATGCCCAAATAATAGCATATGGTTTTCCCTAATGTTAAATATGTTAAAGATTAAGTTATGTGTAGATCACATATTTAATATTTTGCTTAATTTCTCATAAATGCATATGTAATCCAAAGTACTTATATAATGCAAAGCCATCTGATTTTTAGATTTTTAATAAAACCACTTTATGTAATATCTGAAATGAGACAGAAATTTATTTCTGCATTATTTACTTTGAACTGAAGCTTTTTCCAGAGTTATTGCATGTCTTCTCTTTGCTTCCAATCTGAAGAAAAAAAAAAAAAAAAAAGCAGACTTTCCATCTCCTAATTGGTGAACATATAACATCAGATTATGGGGTTTCATTGAATACAATTCAAATGGCTTTTCATTATAAGTAAATGATTTTTTAAAAAGTCATTATGTTGAACTGAGGAGCCCTGGTGATACAGTGATTAAAGTGCTTGGTTGTTAACCAAAACGTTTGTGCTTTGTACCTAATTGCTCCATGGGAGAAAGATGTGGTAGTTTACTTCCCTAAAGAGTTACAACTTTGGAAACCCTATGGGGCAGTTCTAATCTACCCTATAGGTTTGCTCTGAGTTAGAATGGCAGTGGATGGGTGTTGAACTGAACACCTGGTTACTAAGATAATTAGATTCATTTGCATTTTCAATCATGACAAGAAATTTCTCAAGTTACTCATAGTAAATTACCTTAACCTTTATGGCTAGCAACTATAATTATTATTGCAAACAATCACCAGCATGATTATTTCAATAATTAGTAAAATGTCATTTATTACATTTTCTTGAAGTAAATGTCAGTATGGTTTTTTTTTTTTGTTTTTTTTTTTTCAAGAAAAGTATGTACTTTCTGTGTGCATAAAGATAGGTTCACATGTTAAATAAAATATTTTTCAGACCTTCAGGAGGTGGAAAATACTGCCTTGGGGAAAGGAAACGGTATCGTTCCTGTAACACAGATGTAAGTAAAACTAAACTCTGAAAAATAAATTTACTTTACCCCTACAGCAGAGAGATTTTTTAAATGGCAGACTATTTGATCAGAAATCCATGTGTCTGAAGGTCACATGAATTTTTCAAATTGTTAATACTTCAGCTTCATCAATTCCATCAACAAAGGTCAAAGGGGAGTTCCAGTATACAGAGTGAGGACACTCTCCACCAGCAGGTATGAAGAGAAAGTCCCACATGCTGAGAACTGTGTCTCTACAACACTCACAAACTCACCACTTCTAACTCTCGTGAGTCTACCAATATTAATATTAATCTCATTGGGTCATCCCATTATATGTTCAGCATTGGTGGCGTAGCGGTTATGAATTGGGCCGCTAACCTCAGGGTCAGCAGTTTGAAACTTCCAGCTGTTCCGTGGGAAAAAGATGAGGCTTTCTGCTTCTGTAAAGATTTACAGCCTTGGAAACCCTGTATAGGGTCACTATGAGTTGGAACCGACTCCACGGCACATAACCACCACCAACCACTGCTAAAAGCCCAGACTCCCAGATCATCCCTTATATTTTTTGCCAACCAACTCTCAGTCTCTGCATACCTCTTCTGTTCTATTTCCTATCCAGTCCTGACAACTGAAACTCTTCCTCTGCACCCTCTCAAATTCATGATCCCCCAAACCCAAAACCCATTACTGTTGAGTTAGTTACAACTCATAGCGACTCTATTGGGCAGAGTAGAACTGCCTTATAAGGTTTCCAAACCTGTACTATTTATGGGAAGGAGGACTGTTGGTGCAGTCAAAGTGCTTGACTGGTAACGAAAAGGTTGGTGATTTGAACCCACTACCCACTCAGTGTGAGAAAGCTGTGGCAGTCCATTTGTGTAAAAGATTTATAGCCTTGAAAGGCCTGTGGGGCAGTGTTCTGTCCCGTTGAGTCACTATGGGTCAGGCTTGACTTGATGTAAACCTTTAGATTACAGAAGAACAATTTTACACCTTTCTCTACATAGAGAGGATAGTGGATTTGAACCACCACTTTTTGGTTAGCAGATGAACATTTAGTCACTACACTACAAACCATACAACAGAACAAAACACTGCCCAGTCCTGTACCAG